GCTGGGCGCAAACAGGCGGCGCGCGAGGTGGCGAGGCCGGGGCTCGAGCCCAGCGCGCCCCACGGTTTCGCTGCCACGGGCTGCGCGACCATGGAGCTGGACACGCTGAGGACCGCGTCGTTCACTGCCGCGGCTCCCAGATTGGCTGGGCGGTCGCGCACGCTCACGCTGATGGCGACGCCCATGCCCGACCCGATGTTCAGGGCCACGCTGTTGCCTATCACGATGGCGCTGCGTGCTGCCAGTGAGAACTGGGCACCGCAGCACATCATCGCCTACTGCACGACGCGCCAGGCTGGCAGATGCTCAACAGCACCGCCTGGCGCGCGCACGAGAGCGACGACACCGACGTGTTTGAGCTGGCGCCCTGGCTCATCAAGCGCACGCTGGCACGGGCGGCGCAGGGCTGGCAGTGGCGCGAGGTTGGCAAGTGGCCTGGGATGGAGCACCTCGCCGACGGAGGCATTATCGAGCCGCTGATCAGGATGGCCACCATTGGCGCGGCGAGCCGCAACGGCGTCTTCGGGCGACAAGCGCAGGCCATGGAGGCCAAGGGTCAGGACCCAGCTCGGCGAGCAGCCGTGCACGCCAGGATCACACTCGAGAAGAGGTTGCGCGCGTGCACCACCTTCTGGTTGCAAGACGTGGCGGCGCTCGACGAGGCTGGCGACAAGGCTCACTGGTTTCGCCTCTGCGTATCCTACGTGGCCGACGTCCTGACGCACGGGGCATTGCTGCCGCTGGCGAGTGAAGCTGCGGGGGCGAGGGGGCCTCGACAATCATGCTGTGGCTAGGCTGCAGATGGCCCGGGACTTCTGCGAGGCGGCGCGGTCAGCCAGGCGACGCACCTGACCCGCCACCACGCCAAAATGCCCAGGCTGGCGCAGACCGACGAGCAGGAGTGGGGTGAGCAAGCGGCGGGGCACGCTCGCCCCATGATCGAGGTGCAGGCGGAGTTCGACACGGCGCCTGGCAGGCGCGCCGATGCTGCTGCCAGGAGCGTTGCTGCTCTGGCGCCTGCGCTGCCGCTGGCCGCGGCTGCTTATCCCGAGCTGGCCAGCGGCCGTCGTCCAGGAGTTTTGCGGGGCTCGCAAGGCCAGGACACGCCTGCCAGCGGTCCGCGACGTGGACCGTCAGAGCTCGAGTGGTCAGGACCCGCTGGCCCGTGGTTGACGTCGCCGAGTTTTGTTGAGCTTGGAAGGTCAGAGCCCGCCGGGCAGCGGGCAGTGTCGCCACGCATCCATGACTCCCGCAGTGGGCAGATGGGCCACGGACCGAATCCCATGGAGGATGGCAAGGCCTCGACGCTCAGGCTGTCCCTCAAGGAGCGCGGCTACATCGCCTCGGCGGTCGTCGACGGCCACTGGTCCCAGAGCCGCACATATGAGAGCGGCATGGCGGTGGACGACTCGTGCTTGCTGTGCGGCGAGGTCGGCACGCTCCTCCACAGGCACTGCCATCGCGCTGGGTGGCCGCCCGAGCTGCACCTGCCCGACGAGATGCGCGGGCCCATGGAGAAGGCCGACCTGCCCGAGGTGAAGCGCCTGCTGGAGCGCGCGCTGTGACCCGCGCCGCAAGGGATCGCCAAGTCCAGCAAGGTGCCCCGACATCTGTTGGCTCGGCGAGTGCGAGGGCCCGTCGGGCGAGCTGTTCCTTGATGGCTCCCAGTTCGAGGGCGACTACGAGAAATGCGCCAGCGTGGCTTGGGCCGTCATCGCGCTGGAGCAGGAGGCCGACGTCTTCTCGCGCGGCGCGTCTGGGATGCTGCGCGGCGCCTGGGATGCTGCGCGAGCCAAGCGTCGACATCAATGGCGGCGAGCTCACGGCGCTCATCATGGCCTTCCGGTTCGCCGCGCCGCCCGTCATCGCGGTCGTGGACAGCGGCTTCGAGAGCCGCGGTCTGACGGAGCCGGGGCCTCAGCGCACCACTGCGCACGGTGCGTCCCGGGCCCACCTGCGGCGCGAGGCCCGGCGGCTGCTGGGCGAGTTCGGTGGCCTGAGTGACGGCGGGCTCTCGGTCAGGAAGGCGCCTGCGCATCAGTCCAGGCGAGCGGTCGCCACCGAGGACAAGATCACCTACAGAGATTGGCCCAGCAATCGCTACGCTGATTGCGCGGCGAAGTCGGCGGCCGAGGCAGGTCGCATCGCGCACGCTGGACGCCGACGACTCTTCATGGCGGACAAGTTGGTCGAGGGCGCCGGCACGTGGGCGGCCGCCGTGGGCGGCGCGATGGACGGCAGGGACACCGCGCACAGGGTCGCCAAGGCCAACCGCCCAGCCCCGAAGGCAGCAGCAGCAGTCGAGCCCGCGGCGAAGCTCGTCTGCGACTGGAGGGGCCCCGAGGGCAAGCGGCGGTGCAGCCGCTGCAGGTTGGCGGAGCGCGCCAGAGATTGCCCTGGCTCCATCGTCGCGGCGGCGCTCAGCCGCAACGAGGCACTGAAGCAGGCTGGCAAGGACGTGCACATGCTGGCCAAGCTCATGCCCCAGCGCGAGGCGGACCTCGTGCGCGAGATGCCCGCGGTGACGTGCGCAGCCTGCGGGGTGTTGGGCTCGGCGAGGGCGCCCGGCCCCACTGCAGCCTGCGGCCGCCCCTCTGTCAAGGGGAAGGCCGCCATCGCCAGGCTCGCCAAGGAGCTGGCGCCAGCGGTCCCTGGCAAGCTCGCGGTGTCCATCGAGCCGCTGACGAGCTGATGGCGGCGCGCGGAGCCCGCGGGGCCGTCGCACGCAGCGAACGCTGAGCGCGCGGGCGTTGGCGCGCGCTTGCGTGAGAGCTCGCTGCCGCGCGCGTGGCGCGTGGCGTGCGGGCGTGCGGGGGGGGGGCGGCACCGCTCCTTATGAGGCTCGTTTCTCCTCCTCCTCCCCCTCCTCCTCCTCCTCCTCCTCCTCCTCCTCCTCCTCCTCCTCCTCCTCCTCCTCCTCCTCCTCCTCCGTCCCTGTTCCTTGCCCCCTCTAATCCCTCCGCTGGCGCGCAGCGCCAGCTCGTTTCGCGCCGGGCAGCCCGAGCCGTCGGACCGCCCGGCGCCGCCGCGCCGGCCCCTTTGCATCGGCCGAGGCCCCGGTGACGGCCAGAGCCGCTCGGCCGAGAGGGACGGTGCCGTGAGAGCCCTGGACTCGGCCCCCCATGCAGGCGCCAGTTCTGGCATTTCCTGTCTTGAGCTGTAGTTTGTCATGAGTTTTCCCTTGCATGCACCCAGGGCCCTCACGGCCCCAGGACGTCCATTGGCGGCGCGCCCATGGGGGGGAGCGAGAAGGGGCAAGCCTTCTCAGAAGGCCGCGGGGCTTTTCGGAAGCCCTCTCCGTCTTCGTCCAGAAATTTCTCGGAACGCAGGCGGTATTCCGAGCCTTCTGAGCAGACCCGCCCCCTCTCACTTCCCTCCTGCGCTCGCCATCAATGGACATCCTGGAGCCGCGCGGGCCCTGGATGCATGCAAGAGGGACCCATGATAAACTACAGTTCACGGCAGGAAATACCAGAAGCGGCCTCCGCACGGGCGTATCCCAGCGCAGGCCCACAGGATTCGCAAGACGACGACGACAAGGACACGAGCACAGAGGGGGAAACGAACGACGAGGCGACAGAGGAGAGCAAGAAACGCAGGGTCCGTGCTCTCTGCGCCCAGCGGCACTCACGCCGTTCCCCGGGCCTTGGGCATCCTGGCGTCGCGAGAGAAACACGACGTGCGTTTTGAAACGCGTTCCGGCCTCTGGGGGCCCTGCCGGGTCGCGGAGCTTTCACGGGGCGATTTGGGAGGGCGGGGCCCCGGGGGAAGGGGCCCTGACCTTCGAGGGGCTGCGCCGTTCGATGGCCCTCGGCACGTGTGGTGGCCCAACGTGTGCGCCACCCCGTTCAGGTCGACCAGCAGCACGCCGCCTGCGTCGGCCCTCCGTGGTGTTGAAGGTCTTCGGTGGACACGCACATGCTGGCGCTAACATTAAGCCGGGCATGTCCCTCTACAGGAGGAAAATTGAAAATAGTAACAATATAGTTCGGGGGCGATGTTTCGACTAGTTTTGACTATGTTTGAACACTGTTTGACTGTGCTGCATTGTTTTTCCTAGATCCGTCCGTAGGAGGACATGCCCGACCTAAGCGTACTGTTGAAGGGCCTCGGTGGACACGCACATTTTGGCGTTGACACGTTCTGATGATCACCAGGCCGTGAAAAGAACCGCGGCGTCGAGATGTTTGAGGAGGGCCCGGCCCCCGCCCCGCACAGACCCCACAGGAGTACGGCCTCACGCTGGTCAAGACGCCCTCATTCCTGCATGCCCTGATGCAGGCCCTCGGGGGCGCCGACGCTAGGATCGGGGGGGACGAGGACGGGTGCGAGGGGGAGGCCACGGGAGAGGAGGAGGCAATGGAGGAGGAGGACGAGGACGAGGACGAGGAGGAGGGGGAGAAGGAGAAGGAGGAGAGGGAGGAGAAGGAGGAGGGAAGAGAGGGGGACGACAAGGAGGATGAGGAAGGAAAGAGGAGGCAAGGGAGGAAGAGGAGTAGGGGGAGGACCAGTGTAAACCCAAGACGCATCAACGATGTTGCAGTCTACCTTTCCTCCGAGCTCCCTTTCAGAGGTCCCTAGAAGAATAAACTTTCATTGAGGGAAGGGCCCCATTGGAAGACAACCGCCTTCAATCGTGCCAAACCAGCATTGCGATTTCAACGCCGCGAATCAACGTGACTGATGTGCCTAGACAACCGTACATGGCGCCAAAACACCACTCCTGGGACTGCAACACCGTGGATAAGCGTGGCTGTTGCGCGTTGACAATATCCGCACCAGAACACCATTCGTGGGACTTCAACCATACGAATCTTGGCTCAAGCTACTGCGCGGGCTGTAAAGCATTCTTGGGCCCTCTGGCGGCCCCGTCGGCATGGCTGAGCTGCTGGTGGCCCTGCATAGCGACCTCCTTCGGCAGCTCTCGGATGCGCTGGGGTTTCATCTCCAGGGGCTTCAACAAGGTGCGCGGTTGGCTCGCCATGGCGGCTTGCTGACCAATGCGGTGGCCCAGAAGGTGGCCAACGTCGACGTCACATCCAACTTGTTGCGCCACTTCACGCGGCTGGGGTGCGCGGTTGGCATGCCCCTCCCCAGTGCCTCTGTGGACACTGCGCAGGCGCCTGCGCAGGAGGGCAAGCATGAAATTGATCGCGTTGGTTATGATGCATTTGCTGGACATGTTCCCCCCGACCGTTCTCACGGCGCTTGTCGGCAAGATCGGATTGGAGCTGTTGGGAGCGAAGTTGCTGCACTCGCTCCTGGTGGCTGCCACAATCCTGCAGATCGTGTTCTGGAGGCGCCTGGCGTGCAGGCACTTGCTCTTGACGAAGCTGCTCCCGAAGATGCTGCTCCTCTCGTAGTGTCTCCGGTCGGTGTTTGTCGCGCCGCCCAGACTTCTCGCGAAGATGTTCGCCACGTTGCTGCTGCACCTGGGCCTCCGGAGCGCGGCGCCGATGCCCCTGCTGCGCCTGCTGCTGCGCCTGCTGCTGGTCGCGAGCCTGATCGCGTACGTTTTCCTAGGCGTACCGGTCGTGCGACTGGCCGAGATTGCGTCCAGGCGCGGCTGTTCGGTAACTGCGGGCTCTGATTTCTGCCGCGCACGCGCCGGCGCGGCGCGCGAGGTCCGCGCGCGCTCGCGCCAGGCTAGGTTATCTGCCTACTGCTGCGTCGCGTTTCGTTTTTCGTCCTGCGGGCATACAAAAGCAATCTTCAAAACGACGCATGCGCGCAGCGCTAAGGCGAGAGCCACATTTTGACAATTGGCCGACCACCCCCAACACTGCTGCAAACTTTAAAGACGGATGCGCGCGACGCTAAGACGAGAGCCACAGTTTGAAAAAGACCCGCCCTCCATCCTCGAAACTGCTGCAAACTCCGAGGACGAATGCGCGCGACGCTAATGCGAGAGACACATTTGAAAATCCACCCGCCCTCCATCCGTGAAACGGCCGCACACGTTTAAGACGAATGTGCGCGTCGCTACGGTGAGAGTCACAGTTTGAGAAGGGCCCGCCCTCCATTCGTGAGTATGTATGCTGCAAACTGTTGAGACGCATGCGCGCGACGCTCAGGCGAGAGCCAACGTTTAGCAAGGACCCGCCCTACATCCGTGAGCTTGTTGCAAACTTCAAGTTTAAGGATTATGAATTGCCAGGAAGTCTCAGGCGAAATGCTTAGCCCGGCCTACCAACACGTCTTGGGGGGCGACAGGGGGGGAGTTGCTTATAAGGGACAGCGATGGAGGAGGAGGAAGAAGAGGAGGAGGAGGAGGAAAGGGAGGAGGAGGATGAAGAAAGGGACGAGGAGGAAACGGAAGAGGAGAAGCGGGAGGAGGAGGAGGAGCAGAAGGAGGAGGCGAAGGGATGTTGGCAAACGTGGCGACGATCTGGGCGCGAGCGCCTCGCACGGCCGATCGAGCTGGCTGCTCTGCGATCGGAGGGAGCGGTCGGCGGTGTACCTGCGACGCGTCCGTGGCGCCAGGACGTTTCATCGTTCCCCGGGCTGGTCCCCCGTATCGGGGGCCGTCAACATCGGGGTCGGCCAAGAACGGGCCGATGACTTGGATGGATATCGTGGATGGGGCCATCATGTCTTCCCACACTTAATGCCCCCATCTTCTCACGTCAGCACGCCCCCTGACCCCCTCCACTGGGCCGCGCACATGCCTCGGGCCATGATTTGCAAGCCTTCCTCTTGAACGTACCCATGTCGGACGCCCCCGAAACCCCAGACACTCAACGTCTCGAAAAAGTACGGCGGCCCTCGATCGTGTTAGGCTTCAGCGGGTGCCTTCGACTGGCCCCAAGAGCACCAACGAAACGACTCGGGACGAAAATTTGGCCCTGGGTGCTGCGCCCCCCCTCCTCCGCAGAGGCAGGCGGCGCGCGGGGCAACGCCGGCGCCGCCCAGCCCAGGGCAGCGCCACCGCCGCGCTTCGACGGCGCGGGCCAGAGGCCCCGAAGAGAGGGAGGAGAAGCAAAGGGGGGGGAGGAGGAGGGGGGTAGGAGAGGGAGGGGAGGAGGAGGGGGGGGGGAGGGGAAGGAGGACGGGAGGAGGGGGGGGGAGGGGAAGGAGGAGGAGGAGGAGGAGGAGGAGGGGGTGCGGAGCAGCAGGAGGGGGAGGAGGGGGAGGGGGAGGAGTGGGGAGGAGGAGGAGTAGGAAGAGGCGGAGGAGGAGGAGGAAACACAAGCCCAATGAACTCCGCAGCCAGCGGAACGAACTAGGGAGCCACGACATGAATTGGAGCGGCCACCCTATTCGCTGGAAAGCTTCGCCTAGGGCCTAGAAGGACCCCCGTTCGCGGATGCCGTCCTGCCTTGAGGTTGTTTAAGGCAATCATTCTCGCGCGATCGGCCTCCCAGGCGATTCGACCTTCACACAGGTCCGTCAACATTAGGGACTGTCGGGTGACGGCCGATCCGCTACAGTTGAGACAGTAAATGAAGGAGCCCGCCATGACCAGATCGTAGAGGAGGAGAAGGAATAGGAGGAGGAGGAGGAGGAGGACGACGACGAGGTCCTCTGCCATTTTGGCTCAAGATATCTTTCTTGGGTGTGGCAGCCCACTGTTGTGAGCGATCCTCCTGTCAAAAGGAGGCGGACTTTCTCTTCACACACTCCGCATACTCTATTCCCACTCTTCCCATCCTCTCCACTCTGCCAGGGCGACCTGGCCCGATGAGTGCAGCGGCCAGCAGTTCAGGGAGTGATGCTGCCGCAGTGCACGTCGGACGCCGTGATGGTGCATTTCGTTCGCCGACTCGTTCTTTGCCTAAGTCTGACGGTGCTGAGTTGCGAGCACACGTTGACAACACCAGAAGGGAGATCGTGGCCCGTATCGAGGCTATGCAAGGATCCATCTCTGCCCTCGGCACCCAGGTCACAGAATGCTTCAACAACCTCGACAAGAGCGTCCATGAACGCTTCGGGGCCATCGAGAAGAGGATGGACAACGCTGAGAACACCATCGGAGGAGGCCTCCAGCAAGGTATCAAAACTCTTAAGACCGAGCTCAACATGGTCAAGAACACGCCCGTCGCCGAGGCCGCCGCCACAGTCGCCAACAGGGACTTCGAGCGGGACTCGTCGTCAGGTGCGCCAATCTCGTCGCCATGGAAAGGGTGGCGGCTGCTGTTGCCCCCTGGCTTGGCGATGCGCACTGGGACCCTGATGGATGGATTTTGCAAGGCGAGCCCGTCTCTAAGAGGTTCACCATCAAATGCCGTGGTGCGCCTGGTTGGGCAGCGCGCCGCGTTGGTCAAGCCATGGGCGCGCTCAGACTTCCAGATGGCCAGTACCGCAGGTTCAATGTTATGTATACTACCAACCTGCCCTCGGAGTTGTTCGTGTCTGCTGACAAAAACCCGCCCCAGATCAAGAAGGGGATTGCCGTCCAAACTATCACGCGTGTGCTTTCAGAAGCTTACCCGTCTGCCAGATCCTTTGTCGACTGACATGCGGGTCTTGTCTCTAGCCAGTGGACGCCGCTCATCCGTGTCACCCCCAAGCCCGACAACTGTCCCCCCACGCTCGAATGGGAGAACACCAACGTCGTAGCTCTGGGCTTCAACCGCAGATTGGAGCCCAAGATTAATGATGCATTCGCTGGCTCGAGTTCTGCCAGCGCTGCCCCTTGGAGCCTTTAGCAGTTTATCCCGCGTTCTAGGAGGAACGCCTTTGGGAGCCAGATGCCTCCCCCCCTCTCTCTCTCTCTCTCTCTTTTTCTCTCTCTCTCTCTCTCTCTCTCTCTGCACGTGGAATGCTCGTGCCCTTTTTCACCACGATCCGCACTCGCGCTCGTCCAAGCTCCTTTCTCTCGGCTTCTACGCGAATCGCATGGTAACATCGATGACCTTTTTCTGACTTCCTCTTCCATTCCAAACATTTCTTCTCTGGCCAGGCCATCTTCACTGACTCGCGAGGGCGAGGAAGCGTGGCCGCCATCTCCCCTGCTCTCCCTGCCGCGAACGGGTTCCATCCTGAAGCTGAGTGCGAGACCGATGTGGTGAAATCTGGGAGAGTTTTGCACTGCCTTTTCTATCTGGACCCGTCGCCGCATCACCCCCCCCCGCCCCCTCTGTCATCTCCCCATTTCAACATCCACAACTTTGGACTATCAGCGAATCAGATTCGAGCCGTTGCTGTCAAGATCACGATCGAACTGGAAAAAGCGAGCCGCAGACCAGAATCGCACATTGTCGCTGTCGTTGGCGACCTCAACATCCCCTCCAAGCCTCCTACGCCTGCAGTACCTGCCACCAATTTTGCCCCACATGCTGGACTTGCCGAGCGGCGGCGCCAGCGAAGCTCTGGATGGCGTGAGGTTCTAGGCAGGACGGTGGAGATAGGGGGCCCGTACCCGACGCACTACAATGGCAGCATGCAGCACTCGTCAAAAATCGATCGGGTGTTTACCGGTCTCCCTGGGCATTATCTCACCTGCTTGCAGGTTGACGTCTCGGTCCTCGAACTTCCCGAAACTCTCGAGCAGCGGGGGAATCCTGACCACGCAGCTCTCGCTGCCCACCCACGCCATAGAGAACCTCCAGAAGCCTCCGCCAGGCCCATCCCGAAGGAGCTTTTTAGGCATCCCATGTTTAAGCAGTTCGCCCAGCAGACCTGGGACCAGTGCGACGTCACCGGCCCCACCCACCCCCCTTGAAGCTCAAGCTCTTCAAAACTGTTCTTGAAGAAGCTGCCAGGCACGCCCGAAACGCCCTCCTCACGAGTGCCCCAACAGACCCTTTATCGAAGCCTAGCCTGATGAGATCTATGAGTCGTGCTGGTTGGCATTGCGACCTTCCCCTGGCTGAACGATTTTACCAATGCCCCTTGGCTCGGGACCTCCTGGGCGTCGACCCCCTGGCTCCGTCGGCCCCCCTGCAGGGCCCCCAGAAGTTCTCAGAGATGCTGGGCGCACTGTAGTTTCAGGACGCGGAGAGAGAGATCAGGCAGACGTCCGATCGGACGCAGGCTGCCTCCCCCGGGTCAACTCGAGCGAAACTCAGAATGCGCCTGCGGGGGCTTACTTGCAGGAGCCGTTTGTGGTCGCCTTTCGACCGACTCCTGCTTTTCGCTGGGGCACGCGTTGCTGGCCCCGCCCTGACTTCCCAGGAGCAGATGAAAAGTGCGATCTCATCTCACTGGCGCCAGGTATTTTCAGCGAATCCCGTGGACAAACGCGCTGGCGAGGTTTACCTGCGACGATTTCCCCCCAATATGATCTGCGTGACCCCCCCCATCCTCGTCTTCAGGATGTGGAAAAATACGTGGATCGTCTTGCTGACAGCGCCCCTGGGCCGGATGCGGCCTCCTTATAGTGCCCACCAGAATGCCCCATATGCTAAGCAGATCTTGTTCGAGGTCCTCTCGCGGCAGCTCGCAGGCCACCCCATATGAGGTTCGGGCACAATGCGCTGCTTATTGTTTTTATTCCCAATGGGGGGGGGGACACGGATGAGGTTAACACATGCATTACAGACGTTGCTGGATTGCGCCCGCTAGGACTCAAGAACACGGACAACAAAATTATCACCGCTGTCACGTTCCTCAGGTCGAACGATAGCATGCCTCTTTTTGCTGCGCCCATCCAGAGAGGTTTCATCAAATCACGTAATTTCGGAAACGACATGTTCGAGCTGGATTGTCACTCCAGGATATTCTCGATGGCCTCCTCGGCTCACAGCGACCTGCCAGCGTTGGTCAGCTCTGATTTTGGTCAGGCCTTTCCCAGCCTGAGCCGTGAGCGGCTGCATCTGGCGCTGGGCACAATGCGAATTCCCGAACAATTGAAGCTCTTTGTGGTTGCGCTCTACACTGACGTGCTGTGCTACGGCGCCTTCATGTCTGCCACCGTGTCTCTCTTCCTCCAGGGATGCGGCATCATCCAAGGATGCCCGGCCCCGGGCACGCTGTTCGCCCTCGCGACGGACGGTTTCTACCAGGACATGGAGCTCTCGCTCGCGAGTGCGCGCGCTGGCCTGGCGCGCTTGTGCTGACGACGTTGGAGCTGCTCTTCGTCGTCTGGCGCCCACGAAGATCCGCGCCCGCATCTTCAGCGTGGCGGGGCGCATCGCTGCGCTCAAGCTGAAGGCGAACAAGTTCAAGATCGCGCCGCTGGCCGCGGCCATCTCGATGGAGCTGGCGAGTAGGTATTCTGAGTGGCTCCGCGTTCACACCCCCGCCTGGGCGTCTTTTGAAGCCGCTGATGTTTTGAAATACTTAGGCCTCTGGCTAGGCCCCGCCGCCTCGATGCACTCGCGGCGCGCCCCTGTCGCCAAGCGGCAGGAACGAGGATCGAGACTGGCGAATCAGAATGCGCCCACGGCCCTCACGGCCCAATTGCACGAAAGCCGCGTCGCCTCTGCGCTGTCTTATGTCTCTCAATTCATGCCTCTCCCGCTTGAGGTTGTTCGCCAGGAGCCGGTGCTGTTCGCGAAGCTTTTTCGGACCCCACATTGTGTTCCCCCGAGGGCGGGATGGTTTGCGCTTGCCCAATGGGGTGGCCCCAAGATATCAAGTATCCTTGCCACCTCGACTGCTGCCCTGATCAGAGCTAGCCGCGTTCATTTGACCGCCCGGCAGCAGCTCTTACCTCTCTCGCAGGGCGCAGCTCAATCAGAGCCGACGTTCGCCGCGAGAGTTCGCGCGCATATCCTCGCCCCGCCATTCTGGCAACTCCCATCGTTCGTTGAATTCCTGGCAGCTGCTGCCGATGGCTTCCCCTCGCTCTGTGGTCGCCGTCTTGAGCTCGTCACGTCTGTCCCTCGCTCCCATGTCCCGCTCGCTGCTGCCGCTCGCGTTGCCATTGGGTATCTTGTTGAACAGATTCTAGAGTTGCCTCCTGACCAGAAGTTTAAGACGCAAAGATTCCTGAAGATCCGTCTGCCTCACGAGCTGCACAATATTGACCTCGCGGGTGTCTTCGTCTCTCGGTTGGCCTCCTGGACCCGCGTTGATGCCGCGGTGATCCGCGGCCTCCCGTGAGACGAGGTTCGTGCGACTCTGGCCTGGGCGCCCGCTGCGTTTGCGTCGGTCGTTCTGGAGGTTTGCACGGGGGGATGGACGACCGATCGGCGGTTTCAAGAGACGTCCCCGCGCATGCTAGGCTGTGCGCGTGGCGAGGATGCTCATTCTCACTATCTTGACTGTCAGCTCTTCTTGTCTCATTTGGCTCGCGTGCTCCGCCTTGACCCATCCACGTTCCCCGACATCTCTGTGCTTGGGCGCCTTGGTATCGCTGTCCCATCACGCACCTCTCTCGTTGTCCCTGCTGCCGCACCCACCCTTCACAATTACTTGAACGGACTTCAGGTCCGCCCGATCCCGCCTGAAAGGGTCGCCGAGGTGCTTCCCGCGGCGCGGCGGGCAGTAGAGCGGCTCGGATAAGGAACGCGCCCGCCTGCGGCCACGCGCGAAGAGGAGGGCGACGAGGACGAGAAGGGAGAGAAGGCGGAGGAGGAGGAGGAGGAGGAGGAGAAAGAGGAAGAGGGGGACGGGGAGGAGGAGGAGGAGGAGGAGGAGATGCAGGAGGAGGAAGACAAGGAGGAGGAGGACAAGGAGGACAAGGAGGAGGAGGAGGAGGAGGAGAAGGAACACGCACGAGAAAAGACAAGTTAGAGGCGGAGGGTTTGGGAGGAAAAGAATCGGGGGGGGGAAACAAAAAAAAAGAGGAGGAGGAGAAGGAGGAATATGGGAAGCACGAGATTGAAAAGGGAGAGAAAGAGGATCGGGGAAGAAAAGGAAGAGGAGCAGGTAGACGGGGGGGAGAAGGAGGAGGAGAAGGAAAGGGTAGAGAAGGAACATGTGGAGGAGGAGGCGGAGGAAGAGGAGGAGAAGGAGGAGGAGGAGAAGCGCGATAAGGAAAAGAGGTGCAGGGGGAGGTGGAAGCATGTGTGAGAATGGCAAACAAATGCGCACACTGTCGGAGCTTCTCGCTCATTCCTCGGATCGACGCTCCCCCCTCTCCCTAGACGGCGCCTCCAGCGCCTGCCCTCGGCGGCCCCGCTTGCCGGGAGAGGGGCGTCGGTCCAGGGTGTCAATAAACATCCGCGCGCACTTCCTACACCACAAAAAATATTTCTGCAGCTATCACTTTTTCTGGAGCTCCCCACTATGCACATCAATACTTTGAGCTCTGAAGAGACAGTGACATGTTTGGGCAGGTTTCCGGGGAGCGGGCCCTGCGCAGAGCAAGAGATCGAGCATAGGATTCGTCAAATTTGGAAAGCGCTCATGGTACACAACTCGCTGTTGACGCGCAAGGGGTACATTGTCAAGCCGCCTTCGCATTTTCGACAACGTCGCTACCCCTGCGGCGATGCACGGCGCTTCCAGTTGGACGTTGGCGGCGGAACTACGACACGCCCTGCGGACAAATCAACGCAAGATGCAACGCATAACCCTTGGCTCTGGAAGACAGCCGGTGGACGCGCAGACGGACCTTGAGTCAGGGAGCTCATCCATGGCAGGTTCTGGGACTGGCGACGAGCAGGAGCAAGTGGTTGCTGAATCCTGGATCGGGTGGGTGGTTAGAACGACAAGACAGGTCGAAGGGCACTCAGACTCCAACCACATTGAGGATTGGTGTCTACTCTGGCGAGGACGGGCGTGGAGGTTCGTTCACCGGGTTACGGCACTATCCTTTGTAAAGTTGTCAGTGCGAGCTACTATTTGGGACGCCAGCAGGGACAGGCGAGCAAAAGGCAGGATTCCGAACCGTCCGCGCAAGAGGTGGGAGCTCCTTATGGGGCCACGAAGCGCGTGAGGGGTTTGCCAAAATGGGCGCGGTGGGCGCATGCGAACGCAGCCACTGGCGCCGTCGGTGGAGCTCCCTATAGGGCGACGAAACGTGTGAGGGTGTGCCAAAATGGGTGCGGCGGGCGCATGCGAATGCAAACATTGTGGCCGTCGGTGGCGCCCCCTATGGGGCCACGAAACGTGTGGGGGGCGTGCCGGAATAGGAGCGGTGGGCGCATGCGAACGCAGCTACTGGGGCCGTCGGTGGAGCTCCCTGTGGGGGCACGAAACGTGTGAGGGGTTCACCAATATGCAAAATTGGTGCGGTGGGCGCATGCGAACGCTGGCATGTGGACCTTCGGAGGAGCTCCCTATGGGGCCACGAAACGTGTGAGGGGTGTGCCGAAAAGGAGGCATGCGAAGGGCAGAGGCAAGGAGAGGAGGGAGGGAGGAGGAGGAGGAGGAGGGGGAGGAGGAAGGAAGGAAAGAAGAAGAGCGGGGCGCTGTCTTCTCAAAACGAGGACCCAACACCACAGGATGGATGGGAAAAACGCCACGGAGCCGGGAACCCGTCCCCGAAGGGAAGAGAGTTTTGGAAGAGGAAAAAAAGAATTCGCTCGACCACATCAGTTCAAAGGGCTGGTGGGATTACGTTTTGCCCCAGCCCAAATCAGTAGATCCCAGCGCAGTTCAGTCCAACGCATACCACCTAAGCCAACTTCAAAACGCAGCGCAGCCCAGCGCAGTCCAGTTCCACCAGCCAGCGCTGCTCATTCCACCCATTCCTAGGTCAGTCCACCTCAGACCAGCTCAGCCCAGCTCAGTCCTGCCTTGTCCAGCCCGGACCCTTCCTAGCTTATGTCAGCCCCGCTCAGTGCAGCCCCGCCCAGTACATCCATCAGCGCAATTCATCCCAGCCGTGCGCAAGCAGAGGAATTCACAAGCAAGCATGTGCACATGTGAGTTTTATCGGCCCATCGACGATTGATGCTGTCGCAAGAGATGTTCTGGCGTTGCGTAGCCCTAAACGTTGGAACATCATCCATTACAGGGATGGCCCATCCCAGATGGGACGGTGTCTCTTCAAAATCAAGTTCTCGTTTGGGACGCCTTTGTTATCTGCGATCATCCCAAGCCATCCGGCATCCAAGAGCTACACACGTGGAGGGCGGGCCCAATTTTCAACGCCTGGGTCAAGCCATTTTGGCTCAAGGCGACTTCATCTCCTCAGCGCGAATATCTCTTCGGACTTCCCAATCTTAGAGTCACGGCCCTTTCCTAGATGTCAATGTTCGTTATTTCGTTCCCAATTGAGATCAGTTCCCTCCGACTACCCTGGCGGCGAGGCGTGGTACCCTTTCATGATGTGGTACCCCTACGTCGCCAACTTCGTCTCTGTGTTGGCCCTCATCGCGTTCTATGATTTTCTCCAAGTCCCAGAGCATATTTGCGCAGCACCCGACCTGAGTGTCCCGTCGTCAACAGTTTCAGAGGTGTTTGCTCTGTACAGGAGAAAATCCGACGGAATGAGCAGGCTTGTATGGGTAACATGCATGATTGTCTTTACATCGTTTGTATGTTTTGCGTTGGGTCCACTGCGGGACAGTGCCCTTATAGTTTCACGTTTTGCAGACTCAGGCAGGAACGGGGCGCAGGAGGTCGACGAGGCGCGGGGTCGAGGCATGACCTATCATTTGGAATCGCTGGATAGGCTGAATGACGTGGCCAACGATGACGCGTTGCGCACCAAAAAACTGCAGACAGATTTGATAGTGTTGATGGTCATGGCTTTGATTACACTCGGAATTCTATATTTACCCACGTCTGAGATCACGACGTGCACCACAGCAGTGGGTGGTGAGCCTGAGGCCCAACATAATTGGCATGCATTTGCTGTGGACCTGCTCTTCGTAATGTCCATGTTGGGTGGGATGTACGGGGTGGCTGATGGATTCCGCACGATCTTAAACTGGGTCGACTTAGGTTTGAATCCAAGAAGTAGTGCCCAACAGTTGTTCTCGAATATTGTGGCATGTGCATGCGAAGTTTCGGGCGCCGTCATGTTTGTGCTGATGATGCGCCAGGACCGCCATTTGGAAGACTTCTGCGGCAAAGTCGCGGACATCGGCAAGACCGACGATGAGTACAGTGTATATTGGTCGGCGGCCCATGGTTCCTTTGTCTACGAGGCGAAGGCGCTGTGCTTCTTGCTGTTTGGTCTCTGGTTCAGATCATATGGTGACCTTGGTCATAGATTGTGTCGGGCGAACGGCGAGTTTTTCTTGCGCTATGAGCTCCGGGGGGGCAATCGCGCCTATGGCTGAGTGGTGTTGCGCCTTCACTTCATCGCTCATAGGGTGAGTTATTGGGCAGTCCCAATCTGATGTTATTTCAAATTGGTGGCAGGCCTGAGTGGACCCGTCTCGGGCCAGAACCCTTATGATTTCAATCAGGGTGGGGCAAATCCCGTGTGGGGCTGCACGGTGTTCCACAGCAGCGCCGACAACATTTGCAAGAGCCGGTTTGGGCCTTAAGGTTCGATTGCGAATTGCACATCGTTCGCACGGCGCATTGGCTGCTCTGATTGAGGCCCTTTCAGAGCTTGGCCAACCATTTTCATGTCAGCGTACTCCAGATTTCGTAAGAAAGGGAGGGGGGTCTCATTTCGGGGGGGGGTCTCTTCCAGGCTATCTTGGAGGGCCTGGGGGGTCTGGGGACGATGTTTTGGAAGGTTCTCACACGGGGGAGGTCTGAAATGGCTTGTCTTGGAGGGTCCAGACCCCCTCCTTTTTTTACGAAATCTGGAGTAAGCGTTCTACTCTTCGTCCTCATCTCTTGAGCCAGTGCCCGATCGTGGGGCTCTCCTGATCCCGCCTCCGATCGAGGGGCTCCCCCTCCTGTCCCTTCCAGGCTCAGACCTCTCTTCCCTGCATCGCTCGTGCGGCGCACTGGCCGCTCTGATCGAGGCCCTCTCAGAGTTAGCCCCATCCCATCAGCTTCATGCCATGACAATCTGCATGGTCATTGTGTTGCCCGCATGCCTCACACGCCAGTGCTGGTGCAACTTAACACCTGGCTGACGAACAAATAAAAAAGCGCGTCAATAGCAAGTACACGGCAGGGATGTAGAGTGGCCCATCCTCAACATCGATATATTGTTTGGGGCCCTCTTGAATGTTATGACCGCAACGTTGGGCCGCCAACGGTGACACGGGTGGGAGGCTGTTTCTCTTCAAAATGTGGTTCGCGAACTGGTGTTGCGCACATGTGCCCTGAAGTTTCGGACAGCTACACGGCGGAGCTTCACAGCAAATGCATTCTGGCTTGAACCGCCATCTGGCTGATCGCTGGGCCGCATTTCGAAGCTCATGGGGCTCACAGCACGCAGGCTTATGGGGCCCCTCACCTTTCCAGCGGGCATCCTCCGAATCGACCACGTGCGCGCGCATCAAATCACAAGGGAACGGCTTTGGACGGGAAGGTTCGGGCGGACGGCAACCGGGGTGGGGGGTGCAATAGTTACACGTGGAGAGAGCGGGGTTTCGAGGACTGCAGGAAATCGTGGCCCTCAAGGGGCTCTAAGCTGCCTTCGCGGGCCCAAGAGGTGCACGCACGCGCCGGGCGCACGCTTCTCCACCCCAAGTTTTAGTGCCCCCGCGTCAACGAGCACCCGCAGGGTGCAGCGCAGCATCAGTGGCGCTTGCTGGGCTTGCTCTGCCCATCCCCATCCTGCCCGAGAGTGCGCCGCCACATCCCGGCTCGAGCGCCTCCCCCCCGAGGCCCTGCCACGATCGGCCCCGCCGTGAGGCACCCCGTGGCACGGGCGGATGGCCGCCGCGCAGGCGGACGGCCCCGCCGGGCCGGACGAGGCGCTCCTGGACATGCGGCGGAAGCTCTTCCGGGCCTTCGGCGAGCTCGTGGAGGCGTACATGAGCCATCAGCACCTCGGCTCGCGCGGCTCGGCCGCCTCGCTGGCCGCGCCGGCGCGGGCGGCGTCGGAGCTGGCCCGCATCGCCGGCATCGCCGAGCTGGCCGAGACGGCCGGCATGGCCAGCGCAGCCGAGGAGGTGGAGGCGCGAGTGATCGGGCGACAGCTGGGCACTTGGGAGGTCGAGCTGGAAGCTCTCCGGAGCGGCGGCGGGCCGCCCGCCGCCGCCGCGGCGCGCAGCCCCAGCGCGGAGGCGCCGGCGGCGCAGCTTTTACGCAAGGCGCAGCTTGGCGGCGCTGCGATGTTCGACGCGCTGGCAGCGGCGAGGCAGTGGCAACCTCCGCAGCGAGAGCCAGCCGTAGAAGCGCCAGTGGCTCAGAGGTCGCGCTGCTGCGCAACCTCGGCGGATTCCAGGTCGCGCGGCTCGTCGGCGCCTCCGCGCGTGTGCATCCAGGCCTCTGCCTGGCCTCCGCCTGCGCCTCGGTTTGTCAGGCCTGCCCCAGGGCCGCAGCACCTGGGCTCAGCGAGGCCGCAGGCCGCCACTGCGAGACCGCAGGCCTCGCAGAGGGTGGCGGCCGCACCCTCGGCGGCAGAGGCGCCGAGCGGCTGCCACCTGCGCAGCGCCCTGCCCATCCATCTCGGGCCGCCGTTCCTGTCGCTGTGCACCGCAGCTCCGCCGGCCAGCGGCCGGCCCGTGGCGCAGCCGGAGCCCGCCGCGCAGGCGCCCTGCAGCGGCGCGCCACTGGCGCAGGCGCCCGCGGGGCCCCCGATCGCCAAGAGGGCCCTGCGCCGGGAAGCCTCCGCGCCGCTGCTCGCCTACAGCGCGCCCGCCGCCGCCCCCCTGCAGGGCTGCGCCGCGGCGCGCGGCCGACCGCCGACGGCCTCGCCGCCGGCAGCCGCCCGCCCCGACGCCCTCGCGGCGGCCCCGGGCCGATCGCCGCCGCCGGCGGGCCGCCGCGGCAGGCCGTCGGTGCAGGTGATGACGCCGGTGGTGTGCCGCTTGGCGGACTGCGAGAGGGGGGGCCCGGGCGGGCCGCCGAGGGGCTCTGCCGCCGCCCCGCCCGGGGGGGAGGCCGGGCGGGAGGGGCGTCGCACCTCCAGCCAGCCCGCGCCGCTCCAGCGTGGCGGCGCGCACCCGGTGGTGGCGCGCGGGGGGTGGGCCATCTGCCCAGACCCCATGGGGCCATCATGGGGAACATTTGCGAGGGGAGGTGTTTCTCTGCTTTCGGCCTCTGGGAGCCCGCACCGACGCCCTCGGGACTGTCACAAAGCCGACTCGGGATGAAAAGCCGGTCCCGGGGAAAGGGTGCGTCCGGGGGTCCACGCCACAAACAAAACTTGTGGTGGCTGGGTCATGAGAAGGCACGGGGAGGCTTCTGAGAAGGCGGGGCCTTCTCAGAAGGCGGAGATAGTCTGCGCAGAACTCCGACGTCGTGAATTGTTCGCAACGTGGACCCGAAGGTCTTGACTTTTTCCTCGGGACCGGCTTTTCATCTTTAGTCGTTATTTGACCGCCCCATAGGGTGGTAAGGGTCTCTGGAAGCCGAGAACAGCCAAAAACATCCCGCCGTGATTTCTTCGCAGCGCGAAGATGTGGGGGTAAGATTGCCTTTGCCTTCTTAGACGTCCCCCGCCTTCTTGGAATCTGAACCTCGCAAGTGGCGTCAGAGCCATGTGGTCGGAGGGTCGCTCCGCATCGGCGATGCAGCTCGCTGTAGAGGCCGATCTTCTCCACTCCGACGTCGCCGATGCATCGGCGATGTATCGGCGATACGGCGCGATCCTCCGACCCCATCTGCTCGGACCCCATGTGAGCGACGCAAGAAAACGGGCTCGTCTTCACCGACATTGGCGCGTAAGCTTCCCGCGTAAGGTCGCGCGTCAGCGCCCTCGTCTCCAATGTGGCGTACCGCGATGGCGGCTCGCGTAAGCCGCCGCGTAAGGTCGCCATGCTATCTCGCGTACGGCCCATCTCCTCGTCGTCGCTAATGTGGGAGGACTCCCCAGAGATCCGACGTCGTGTTTTTTTCAAGACGGGGTCCCTGGAAGTCTCGACCCATTCCCCAGGACCGGCTTTTCGTCATCAGTCGTTTCTTGACGGTCCCAAGGCCCGGCGAAGTCCTCCGAACAAAAATCCGGTTTGATTTTTTCCCAACCATCCTGTGGTGTTGGGTCCTCGTTTTGAAGAGACAGCGCCCCGCGTCCCACCTCCTCCTCCTCCTCCTCCCTCCTCCCCCTCCTCCCTCCTCCCATCATCATCATCATCATCATCATCATCATCATCATCATCATCATCATCATCATCATCATCATCATCATCATCATCATCATCACATCGTCATCATCATCATCATCATCATCATCATCATCATCATCATCATCATCATCATCATCATCATCATCATCATCATCATCATCATCGTCATCGTCATCGTCATTGTCATCGTCGTCATCGTCATCGTCATCACCCACTTCGGCACACCCCTCACACGTTTCGTGGCCCCATAGGGAGCTCCACCGAAGGCCCGAGGGCTGCCGCCCGCATGCGTCCCCTACACCCATTTCGGCACACCCCTCACACGTTTCGTGGCCCCATAGGGAGCTCCACCGAAGGCCCCATGGCTGCCGTCCGCATGCGTCCCGCACACCCATTTCGGCACACCCCTCACACGTTTCGTGGCCCCACAGGGAGCTCCACCGAAGGCCCCAGTGCTGCCGTCCGCATGCGTCCCGCACACCCATTTCGGCACACCCCTCACACGTTTCGTGGCCCCATAGGGAGCTCCACCGAAGGCCCCATGGCTGCCGTCCGCATGCGTCCCGCACACCCATTTCGGCACACCCCTCACACGTTTCGTGGCCCCACAGGGAGCTCCACCGAAGGCCCCAGTGCTGCCGTCCGCATGCGTCCCGCACACCCATTTCGGCACACCCCTCACACGTTTCGTGGCCCCATAGGGAGCTCCACCGAAGGCCCCATGGCTGCCGTCCGCATGCGTCCCGCACACCCATTTCGGCACACCCCTCACACGTTTCGTGGCCCCATAGGGAGCTCCACCGAAGGCCCCATGCTGCCGTCCGCATGCGTTCCGTCCCGCACACCCAACGCGCCCCATTTCGCACACGTTTCGTGGCCCCAGCTCCACGAAGGCCCCATGGCTTCCCATCGCACCCATTTCGGCACACCCCTCACACGTTTCGTGGCCCCATAGGGAGCTCCACCGAAGGCCCCATGGCTGCCGTCCGCATGCGTCCCGCACACCCATTTCGGCACACCCCTCACACGTTTCGTGGCCCCACAGGGAGCTCCACCGAAGGCCCCAGTGCTGCCGTCCGCATGCGTCCCGCACACCCATTTCGGCACACCCCTCACACGTTTCGTGGCCCCATAGGGAGCTCCACCGAAGGCCCCATGGCTGCCGTCCGCATGCGTCCCGCACACCCATTTCGGCACACCCCTCACACGTTTCGTGGCCCCACAGGGAGCTCCACCGAAGGCCCCAGTGCTGCCGTCCGCATGCGTCCCGCACACCCATTTCGGCACACCCCTCACACGTTTCGTGGCCCCATAGGGAGCTCCACCGAAGGCCCCATGGCTGCCGTCCGCATGCGTCCCGCACACCCATTTCGGCACACCCCTCACACGTTTCGTGGCCCCACAGGGAGCTCCACCGAAGGCCCCAGTGCTGCCGTCCGCATGCGTCCCGCACACCCATTTCGGCACACCCCTCACACGTTTCGTGGCCCCATAGGGAGCTCCACCGAAGGCCCCATAGGTCCGCATGCGTCCCGCACCACCCATTTCGGCACACCCCTCACACGTTTCGTGGCCCCACAGGGAGCTCCACCGAAGGCCCCAGTGCTGCCGTCCGCATGCGTCCCGCACACCCATTTCGGCACTCACACGTTTCGTTCATAGGGCGAACACCGCATGCTCACACGGTTTCGTGGCCCCACAGGGAGCTCCACCGAAGGCCCCAGTGCTGCCGTCCGCATGCGTCCCGCACACCCATTTCGGCACACCCCTCACACGTTTCGTGGCCCCATAGGGAGCTCCACCGAAGGCCCCATGGCTGCCGTCCGCATGCGTCCCGCACACCCATTTCGGCACACCCCTCACACGTTTCGTGGCCCCACAGGGAGCTCCACCGAAGGCCCCAGTGCTGCCGTCCGCATGCGTCCCGCACACCAGGTGTGTGGCGTGCCGACATGGGCGTCGCGGCGCGCGGGCGCTGCCGTCGGGGTTCCCAGGGAAGCCCCCTGCAGAGGCGACGCTCAGAGTCACGAGTACCGAGAGTCACGCAGACCCAAACTGTTCACAGTCGTATACATACATTTACACTGGGCGTATCCATGCACGCATTCATGCGAATAGAATCAATCGCGCGCAGATTCATTCATAATCAGACTCGCTCGCGATCCGACTCGCACGCGCTCAAGCTTTCATATTCGGACCTATCGTCTTCGTTCGTGTTGTGTACACTGCCACGCATTTCGGCACACCCCTCATACGGCTCGTGGCCCCATAGGGAGCGCCACCGAAGAAGATATTCACAATTGCGGTACTCTCAACTGCATATGGTTGGGTCCTTCGCCAGGCTAATTCAATGCGCTGGATCTCTGGGTCCATGTGGAAGACCACCCCCTGTCGCGCCACCGCCCTGCGCGCGCCGCCAACCGGCGCATGGCCTCGGCGCCCCTGCTGGCGCAGCCCGCGCTGCTCCCGGCGGGAGCGGTGCGGCTGGTGGCGCCACCTCCGCTCCGGCCAGTCGGGGGGGCGGCAGCCTCGGTGTGGCCCCAGGTGGAGGGTTTCTCCGAAGGGCTTTGGCGACCCCTCCTCCTCCTCCTCCTCCT